TGTCAAAATATTTTTAAATGGATGGAGAAGATTAAGCCATATCAGATTTGTTATTATGGGTTCCATGACAGATCAGCTGCCACATTGGAAAAATGAGATAAAAGATAGGGTTTTTATCTTTTAATTACCCTTTTTAGGTTAAATTAGGTCTGTTTTAGCTAAAAATTAGGAGGATATGATAGTTATAGGTGGGAGTTATCAGATAAGGTAGGAGTTATCAGATAAGGGCACAGGTGACGAAATCTGGAAAGGGATCTAACCATGTCAACTGTTAAACTATCCCACTACCTCAAGAAATCACCCACAATTTTGTAACTGCAAAAAGTGGGGAGTTACTGCCGGCAAAAGGAGAACAAAAAGGAAATTTTGGATTGGAGAACACACGGCCAACCCTACACACAACTTGTAAATTTTCAAACTTTCAATTTCTCTACAATTGCTCACTACTGCTTACAGATTTCGAATTTTAGCACAAATCCCAGTAAATTTAGGTTGTTTTTCATCATTCTAGTAGACAAATTAGTTCATGTATTCACTTCAACAATTTCGTTTCATGTAATGAACTTCAATCTTTCGAATGTCTTCAAGGTACTATTCCTTTTACTGTCTGCAATTAATTTAATGTTTATGATAAATAGCATTTCTTCAATGATTACTTATATGGTGTCCACGCTTCTTCTCAACTTCAAGCATGTTAGCTTAATTCCTATTCAAGTTTGTTTTAGTTTTAATTAAGGTAAAATCTCCAATTCTACAGTAGTTTAATCTCTAAATCTGTCAGTAAATAGTATTTTAATTTGACAATGAACATGTTTAATTTAATTTAGGTACATCTTGTTCCCGTACATTTATTTTAAATTGCATGCTATTTAATTTAATTAGAATTTGTTGATTTTAATTCACGGTAATGTTTAAGTCCTTGAAATTGTCTAAGGCAGATTTCGTAATCCATTCTACAGGAAGGCATCCCTCTCTCTTGCAAATCGTCTATACGCGTAGATTTCAATTTTAATCCAACGTTCTTCCCGCCATCCGCAAGGAAGTCAATCGTGAGGAAGGAATGGGTCATTGAAAAAATCCTTCTTTCTTACTTTCAGTAGAATAAGTGACACGCCCGTATCCAGATTTCGCATGTGCACGGCCACTAAAGGATTTTTGAGAAACGATTATTGTTTTTGCTATTAGCTAGCTAGGTTGCCTTGGCTCCTGACACGAATGATATTTTCATCATATTTATAAAACGGGATTACGTAGTAGTAATTGTCTTTACATGCAACTATGCGAATGCTGACCCATGTTAGAGAGATCAATTTATGTAATATGTCAGATTAGAATCATTTTCTTAAAAAGAACCAGCACGTAGAACGCATGGACTCGGTGTGGGTGTGAAAGTTAAAGTTTTGAGTTCATTGGCCGGAGTTCCCATGATGACCCCATTCACCCTCATCCCTAAATCTCAACCGCCGACGTATAACGCATCTGGAGGTTCACCCCGTAGAGACACAACAATTCAATGGTCTCTCTTTGGCTGGAATGAATACTGTTAACTGCTTGGACTTTCTGACTTTCATATTTAGACTTTCAATAAAAAA